CATCTCTTGGCATTCAGCGGAACTTTATTTTCCATCCACCAATTCTTGTGATCTCAGCATTCCTAGTATCGAACTCGTCTTACTCCCATTTCGAGCACCACCTACCCTCACACATTAGGTCACTGCTCCATTTTGTACTTTTTTCCATTTGGTCCTAACTCCCTCCCCTCGCCCCCCCCACTCTCCATCGTCCAGTCCCATGCCACTATTCTCACTCCACACCCCGTGCTAGCTTTAACCCGCAGCTGCGATTAACTTTTCTGTTTTTCACTTGTCCCCCTTAATACTCCCGTTGGTTACACCCATCAGCGTAGTACCCTCTAGTGCCATCAACTCCATTCCTAACCCAGCACCACACATTTTTATCCAATCACCATTTTTTTCTTTATCCCCTGACTATGTTGAATCAAAAAATGTTGAGTCTACGGTAATGCTCTGTCTGATTGCGCTCTCCTTCTGAATCGCCCTTTTGCAACTATAGAGTGCTCATCTAGTTCCCCTTACTCTACTGTACTAATGTGGACTCACTCGCCCTATTTTGTCTACGTGCTATTTTCCTCTGTGCGGTGTGATTTTCTTTAAATCATTGTGGCCTCAATTAATCCTCTACCACATTCTCTTTGCACTCCCTTATATTTTTTCTAGCCACCTTTTGTTGTTGTACTCACACGCGTAGGACCCTAATCCTAGAATACCTGTCAATTGCCCCCTACACTTCTGCCTTTCCAGTCCCCCTACTACTTTATGCATCCGTCGGCCTCTCTTTGGTTTGCCCAGTCTCCCTTACTCCACGCTTCGTTGCTTGAGGTTTGGGTTGCGAGTTCCTGTTGTGTTACCACACCTGGAATTTGATCAAGACCCCATTAGTTCACTAACCTTTGTCCGCAATTCGCCACAGTCTTAGCCCCCTCCTTACCCCTCTTTTCCCTCTCTCCCCTTTTCTCTTCTATTCCCCCTTTTCCCATTTTTCTCCTAAATTGGGTTTTTCTCCCCACCTTATTACTATACACAATGGGCGAACGCATCGTACCACAAGCGTGCGCCGCACACAGTGCCGCATACGTGTTTTCCTTGTTTGAGTCTGTCCCGGGTCCGCGACATTTAATCGCTGTGAGTTCTGGATAGTTTCGCACAGGTGGCGACAGAAAGTTCTTCGACTCGACGCCGGCGATATGTTCACATTACGCTGCAGCAAACAGGGTCCTGTGAGGATGTAGTTGATTATTCAGTAGCAATTTCCTTCTTATTCTGGCCGCACACAAGGTTATTCCATAAGCTATCGTAGCAGCGCGGCTATATTAGTAGGAAAGTATGGTTATGGCATGTAGTCATTGTTGTCTCCAAAGAGGGAATTGCTAGAAACCTCAAGTGGAAACGACCTATTGTCGAGGGAGAGTGAAAATGTAAGGAGGAAAATTTAATGGGTTCCTTACCAGTCAATGTTTTAAAAATGGGGCCGTGAGCTTTTGCCACGTTTAGTTGCTCCCTCTGTTTTTCTAACTCCGCTTCTGTTGTTTGAGTCTCCATTCCCTGTTCTGGCACCACATCCGACATTAATGTTACCCTCTTCAAAGGCCCTTTATTTTCTTACTCCTATAACCTATTGTTGTACAATATCCCCTACCCATTGCCTCTGCCCCCCCCCCCGGTTCACCCCCCCACCCCCCCCCCCCTTCTTACATTACACCGTAAAAGAACACCGTTCCATTTAGTTCCTCCCCTCTAAGGGCCCATTATTTTAAATGGTGATTAAGTCCAGGTGGGATGGTCCGCCGACCCCCATATTATATGAGTTAATAAGGGTTGAGTTCTCAAAACCATTCATTCTACCCATTTCCACCGCCTCTTATCTCCCATTTTCTCCAATTTCTCAATCAATTTCAAAGGGATTTTGAGTTGGAATTTGACAAAGAAGTGATCCTAAGCAAGAAGAGGTAAGAATCCCTACTTTAGAGATGAATTTTATTATGTAAGGGTTAAGTTTTACTATGTTTATGCTTAGGAAATAAGGGAAAGTTATGATCCAACAAGAGTAGAGAGCTTTAGTGGAGACTACTCAAGTATGAGGTAAGTAAATCCAACTCAAGCTAGAGTTTAGAAATTCTTAAGTGAGATTTATTTTGCATGTATATATGATGCTTATTGAGAAATTGAGTAGAGATGTATGTTTTTGTTGAGAAAAATGAGTTGAGAAGAGTATTTATATTGTTGTTGAATATTTCCTTTATGGAAAGTGTTTATGAGTAATAGTTTGAGATGAAGTTGGAGGAGATTGAGTATTGTATTTGGGAGTGTTTTCTATGGTAGGGTTTATGCCCATGGAAGGGAATTTACTTCAATTTTGGATGGTTAAAAGAGAAGGAGAGTTGTAGTAATGAAGAGTTTTTTGTATGCACAAAGTTGCTAGAAGAAATGCCTAAGTGAAATCTGCCCTGTCACTGCCGTAACTTTCTAAGGGATTTTTGAGTATCTTACGGTTTGAAGGGCTGAGATCAAAACAGAGAAGTTATAGCCCTGTTTCTAAGCTTTGAACGAGACCAGAACCGTAGTAATCAGAGGTGTATAACGACGTTATGGTCTTTTAGTGTGACTGGCAGAATGACAGTTTTGAGGAAATCTTGCATTTAGCATTTCAAAGGTGGAATAAGTAGAACCATCAATAGCATAATTTGCATTGGAAGTAGCTTGAGAGAGAATATAGATGTTGAGTATGAGCTACCTTGTGAGTACTAGCTTAAGAGTAAAGAATTTGAAGATAAGCTATACTATAAGTAATAGCTTGAGTAAGAAAGAGTAGAGAATGTTGAGAATAGCAACCCTTAAGAGTAAAGTGAATGAGAATACTCTGATAGTAAAGAGAAGAGTTGAGAAAGAGTAGAGAATTACTCTAAGAGTTAAGCTAACTTATGACAAGTAGCTAGAGAAAGAATAGAGATCTTGTGCACAAGAGTTAAAGAGGAGAATAGAGTAAGTTGTGCGATGGGGAACCTGTGAGTGACGAATAGAGTCACGTAGAGTGGAACACGAGGTTCTAGCGTGCCTCCGGTAGATGAGGCCGTGGACCGTCACGCAGAGTGGAACATGAGGTTCCAGCGTGCCTCGGTCAGATGGGGCCGTGACATTCAGGAGAGAGGAGAGATTGTACACTCACATGGCCAAGGTTCCGAATCCATGCATAACTAAATCCGATCGGTAGCGAAATGAGCGGAAGTCACGTAGATGGTAGGCCCAGCCGTGCCTCCGTCAGATGAGGTCGTGACATTCCAATGAGTAAGAATGAGAAAGAATAGAGATGAGACGAGTTAAAAGTTAAACTGTATTATGAGTACTAGCTTAAGAAAGAGATGAGCAAACATGAGAAAGAGTAAGAGAGAGAAGAGCATAGACTGGTTATGTGATGGGGAACCCGTGAGTAATGGGTAGAGTATTCCCGCATGTACGCCGCATTGAGAGAGAGCGGCATGAGTATCAGATAGAGAAGTGGGGTTAGCCCGTGAGAGTGCATGCGGATGAGGGCTATACCCGAGTACCCGAGAGAGAGTTATACACCACGTGGCAAGGGTTCCGAATCCATGCATAAACGAGTTCGATCGGTAGAATGAGTAGAAGTCATGTAGAGCGGGAGCGAGTCCGGCCGTGCCTCCGGTAAGATGAGGCCGTGATTATAAAGAGAGTTATCAGAAAAGAGTTATGAGAAACAGAAACAGAAATGAGAATGGGATAATAGACAGAATTAAAGAATGAGAAAGCTTGAGAAAGCTTGAGAAAGAATGAGATAGAAAGGAGAGAGTATGAGAAAGAATGCGAGAGTTTGAGTTAGTAAGAGTAAAGAGTAGAAGAAAGAAACATGCAGTTCTTTCACATTAGTTGCATGTCGTCTCATATATGCATGTACCATGAGTTTTCCATGGTTAGGGAGAGTATATCGCGAATGAGGAAGAGAACCATGACTTTCCTTCATGGTGAGTATGATGAGAATAAGAGAGAACCATAATTGTTCTTCATGGTGAGTAAGAATAAGAGAAAAGAACAGAGAGAAAGAAAGAGTAAGTAAAGCAGAGAACAGAGTTAAAGGAGAATACAGTATTAGAAAGAAAGAGAAAAACAGTGAGAAATAGAAATACGAGAACGTCGAGTAAGGAAAGAGAGTGAGTTATGGGGACAGGTAGTAGATGATTTACTTACGAGCATTGTTGTGCTCACCCCGTTGTTTTCTCTGTTTTGCAGGAAATAGGAGCAGCGGTCGGATGGACGTCGAGGAGCGAGAGTATTGGCACCACTGTCCACCAGCTATGATATTTTGTATTAATTAGAAAGTTTTTAATACATGGTATTTGTATTTGTAAAGGAGTAATTTTTATGAGTAAAGAAAAATTTGAGCCCACTATCTTTCATATTATATACACATCTAATTTTTATAGTACGTATTATAAGAATAGTAATAAAGAGGAGTTGTTACATCCAGCCAATTGGTGGGTGGTTTGTTTGATTGGAAAAATAGAAGTGTTTTATTTATGAGTATGACTTTGTTGGTTATATACTTGCTGTTTGGATCCATTAACATTGGTTGGACATTTTAGAGGTTGCTAACGTAATGTGAGTAATAGATTTTTTCCCCAAATACAATTTAATTATATATGTTGGATAATGAATGTTGCTATGTTAATGTATTGATGTTTGGTTCGTACCATTTTATTGATGTTGTATGGTGTAATGAGTTGAGTTAAGTGGAAAAATCAACCAATGGCGGGGTTGGTTTGTTTGATTAGAAAAATAGAAGTGTTTTCCTTATGAGTATGAATTTGTTGGCTGTAAACTTGTTGTTTGTATTCTAATATTGGTTGGGCATTGGGGTTGCTAACATAATGTTTGTCTTATAATTAATAGGTTGAATTAAATTTTAGGGATGAATGATAAAAGAAGCATAAATTCTAGACTTATTTCTTTTCCATTACAAACTCTCCAGCATCTTCTGTCTAATTTCCTCTATTTGTTACGTAACAGAAGATGCCCAGAGGGTGAATGGCACTACCAAAGTTGGTGGGGCAGAGGATGCAGAGGTGGGTTATACTCGTTTCAAAGCAATTAATTATTGTTGTTATTTTTCACTGTTTGACATAATATTTTTCCTTTTGTGCAGTGATGAATTGGAGCACCTTGGTCTTGCTACGTGTTTGGGTGGCAAGGGACAAGACTTGTTTTTCGCTTGCTGTCTTTTTCTTTTTAAATTGCCATATTATGGTGTGGTTTACAGTTAGCATGATATGTCCAAACATGATGATTGGTCCTACTTGTACTCATCCAAGCGTTTACTTACTGTGATGGCGAATGGAGTGTAGAGGCTTGGCCTGATTACTCTCAAGGTGTTTCCCTAATTTGATGTAAATGCCACAGGAGCATTTCTGCTCTTTGGGTTTCCTCTGTACTGCTTATGTTTGAAGTTCATTGAAACTGCTTGCATCTTAGATTATTATTATTGTTCACTTTGATGTTGTTCCTATGAAATGTGACACATTCTAACTGGTGACGGATTGCATATGTCCTTACAATATGGCTTTGGAGCATTATTAGCCTTAAGGATTGAATTATTTGATTTTAATAAGAAAATCTTAAAATTCGGATATCCGATTATCCGATCCGAATAATCGGATATCCGTAAAATCGGATATCCACATAATTCGGATCGGATTCGGATCAATATATAGCCTGATCCGAAAATTTGGATCAGATCAAGAAAAGCCCTATTCGGATCGAATATCCGGATTTGCACACCCCTACTTGAAAGTGTAATTCACCCTTACATAATATTAGATCATCCTTTAACATTGTCTGATTCTTACTGAAAAGACTCAAGTCCAAGTCTTTCTTTATACAAGTGTTAATTTTTTATCAAAAGTGTTGCCTAGTGCTCTCAACTATTTTATCTTTTTAGCTGGATGAAGGACTTCAGACTTGGAGCCATCATCTTTAACGGATATTTAATAATATTGCACTAAGCAAGCAGTTGATTGCTTCATATTTGGATGTTTCTGCCACATAAATAATGCCGGGTTCACACAAATGCGAAAAAAATGAGTTAGAATCTTTAGATTACATTACCTATCTTGAGAACATAACAAAGAAAAACTTATATGTTAAGTAACACCATTCTATGTCAAACAAAAATAGTCGTGATACGTTGCTCCTCTCATAAATGTCAGACTATTTAGGTTAGCGTTACTTAATATGTTTTAATGTTAAGATTATATGATCTAGTGCGATCAAACAAGGTCTAGCTTTCGATAACATTTAGCGTCATACATTAAATATGTTAGAGAATAAGTCTAAATTTTCTCATTAAGGGCAATATTTTTGGGATTTGAATTATTTGCATGACTATTTATGGAAATTACCCTTTCTGAAGAAAGAGGGGTGAGATGTTTGAGACCATAAATAAAGGGTAAAAAGGTAATTCCACCTTACACAATATAGTTCATACTTTCACACTCTACTATGGAAGATGGTCAGATCAAAAGACTTAAAGAGTCCAAGTCTTTCTTTAGAATTTTAAAGAGTCCAAGTCTTTCTTTAGAATTATACAACTTGTGAATATTTTATAGAAAAGTTGTTGCTTAGTGCTCTAAATCATGAAAGACTTTGGACTTTGGAGCTGCAATCTTTACCAAATCTTTTAAGTAAATATGCTTTGGCGAAAATATTGCACTAAGCAAGCACTTCATTTGTTGATCTTTTGGATGTTTCTTCAACATAATTGATTGCAGGTACCTGGACAGCGAGACAGATAAAAGTAAAGTTCAGAATCTTAGGTCACACTTATTCCCGTTTGGATTATATAATGATTTATTATAATAGAATTTTATATTAATAAAAAGATATATTACATTCAAAATTATTTAAAAAATATGTTTGGTTATTTTAAATAAATTAGTGAGTAATATGTTTAGTTAAGAGAATAAATTGGTGCATATGTTATATAGATTACTAAATTACCTTCTTTTTTAAATATTAATATAATATTATTTTTTATTATTACTTTTTGAATCATCTGTTTTAACATCTTATATTTGAAATTTTGCTAAAACATCCTAGCCATATAAAGATGGGCAAAATTTTAGGATAAAATTAGAATTGAGGGGTACCCGGGTGTCGATTCCTGTTCCTACCCGAAACTGGCCATAACAGGGTCAGTTTTGGTTCTAAAAAAATTAGAATAGATATTGTGCGGTTTCAGTTCCCGTTCTAAATCAAAAGAACTGAAACCAGAAATTGGGACTAAATTGAGATGATATCCTTTAATATTTTGCATGTCATATAAATATATAAGAAAATTTTGATTTTTTATCTTAGTATCAAAAGTCTTATTAATTTTTAATAAAAGATCAGTTCTTCAAAATATTCTTATAAATATTTAAATTTCACTTATTACTTAATTAAGAAACTAATATACATTAAGATATTTATGTTAAATAATAGTTTTTAAATGTTTATTATCAGTAAAAACAAAAAATTAAATATTTGTAATCATCAAGTCATTAAATATATACAAATATATTATTTAATGTTTTGCACTTAGGTCTTACGGCCATCTAGTAGTTAAACATGGCCAGTCGTCACATAAATTATCAAACACCACTTAAGTGAATTAAGAAAGTTATTTCTTTTTTACTTTTTACTTGATGAAAAATGTATGAATAATTTGTTTAAATTATTTTAATAATATTATCATTATTTAATAGCAACGACTACGCAGATTATTAGGCAATTGACAGATAAGAATACGGTAGAGCAAGAATCATTGCCAAATTCTTAGGGTCAATATTACATTTATAGGATAGCTTGATTATGGGATATTGTCTGTAATTACAATTATTCTATTTCCTAATTTATACTCATGTAATCAGTATATATATTGTACATATCAATGCAATGAATAGAGCCAATTAACCTCTTCACTATCTGCTCCTATATGGTATCAGAGCATCTACTCTCACGAGATTTTGCTCCTTCGATCCTCCCTCTTTTCTTCCTCAATTAATCATGTCAGAAATGAGTGAAAACATCAATTCCACTTCAAAAAACCTTCTACCCGATTCTTCATCTTAAATTGGTGATATTATCACCATTAACACCACAACAAAACTCCCTCTGAAATTAACCCCTACCAATTTCTCATCCTGGAAAACTCAGGTTGAAACCTTAATGCTTGGCCTTGACCTTGATGGCTATCTCGATGGCTCTTTTCCTTGCCCACCAAAAACAATCACTCATGAAAAACAGATTGTTTCAAACCCAGATTATCGTAAATGGCTTCGTCAAGATGCTCTTATTCGTCATGCGATTCTTTCCTCATCCACTTTTGCCATTCAACCTTCACTTAACGGTTTAACAACAGCTGCTCAAGCTTGGAAAAAACGGAATGAGACCTACGCAAATCGCTCTCGTACTCGATATCTCACACTTCGAGATGTTCTCTCCAACATCAGCAAAGAAGGAAAATCTGTCTCTGAATATATGCAAGCCATTAAAACAGTGGCTAATGATCTAGCCTTGATTGGGCATCCCCTCACAGAGGATGAAATTGTTCATCATGTTCTAAGAGGCCTCACTTCCGAATTCAAAGAAATCAGTGCTGGAATCCGGGCACTTTCCTTGGCTATCTCATTAATCGTCTTCCAACTCCTCTTCTTTCACATATCTCTCCCTTTGAAAAATTATTCTCCATTTCTCCAAATTACACCAAATTACGTGTCTTTGGATGCCTTTGTTATCCTTGGCTGAAACCGTACACCAAGCACAAATTACAACCAAGATCAAAACCTTGCATTTTTCTTGGCTACTCCATTGCTCATAATGCTTACAAATGTTTTGACCCTGACACTGCCAAATTCTTCATTTCTTGTCATGTACTCTTTGTCGAGGATAAATTTCCCGGCATCATAAATCAAGGTACTTCCTTTTCCTTGACCGAGTCTGTCTTGAATCATTGGTATCTTGACTCACCTACCTCCACACCACCTTCCCATCCACAAACATCCGGCATCTTGGAAGCATGTCCATCTTCTCTAGAATCTCCCATCACTCACCTCAAATCTCCACCAAGTTCGTGTCCAAGACCATATGTGTCCAAAACTCAGGGATTGACTCGCTCATTCCCCTCTCGTCCATCACCCTCCAGTAACTCTCGGGATAGTGCACACCACCCTTCGACATCTCCTACTCCGACTGGTGCGAGTGCTTCACCTTTGCCGAATCCCTCCATGACCGCATCCTCAGATCAGGTAACTATCCCTATCCCTGTTTCTTCACCTTCATCCTCTTTTACTTCCTCAACACTACATTCACTTCCCCTAAAACCCCAAACTCCACCACTCCCACGACCTGTCGTTTAGACACCACTGTTTCCACTCACCCAAAACACCATGAAAACTCGCCCTCACATGACTTGTCCTCACATCACCTCAAATCACCTGACGACCCACCGATTTCCACTCCTCAACCCTCCCATCGTATGGTTACTCGATCCCAAAACAATATTGTCCAACCCAATACCACTCTTTTCGATTATCACCTCTACATGACATCATGTCGTTCTACTCTTGATACCACGGAACCCACCACATTTCGTCGAGCCCAAAAACAACCAAAATGGAATCAAGCCATGAATGACGAATTTGATGCCTTAACCCACAACCACACATGGGACCTAGTCCCCTCTCATCCCTCACAAAACATTATTGGTTGTAAGTGGGTTTACAGGATAAAGAGGCACGCTGATGGGTCTATCGAACGTTTCAAGGCGCGTTTAGTTGCAAAAGGATTTCATCAACGACCTGGCATTGATTTTCAATCCACGTTCAGTCCCGTGGTCAAGCCTACCACTATTCGTCTTATTCTTACATTGGCACTTCACTTTGGATGGCCCATTCGTCAACTGGATATCAATAATGCCTTTCTTCAAGGCCACTTGGAGGATGATGTGTATATGGCTCAGCCACAGGGGTTTATTCACACTGCTTATCCCACTCATGTTTGCAAATTATGGAAAGCTATATATGGTCTTCATCAAGCACCCCGCGCTTGGTATAATGAGCTTCGCTCCTTCCTTCTTGCTCAAGGATTCAGCAATTCCAGGTCTGACACATCTCTTTTTATTTTCTCTCGTCACGGATTAACCCTTTATTTGCTAGTCTATGTTGATGACATCATCATCATCGGGACTTCTCTTCCATTGGTCAACCAATTCATTTATCGTCTCGCTGCACTCTTCTCTCTGAAAGATTTGGGTTCTCTTCACTACTTTCTCGGTGTTGAAGCTACTTCCACTCCTTCCGGGCTTGTTCTCACTCAGAA